TAACCCGATTCTCAACTACTCGGTGAGGCGAACTCTTGCTGAGAAACTTGCTCCTGCCATTGCCTTGCTTAGCCGAATTGAGGGACTTCCTGAGCAAGTGGTCCATCCAAAACAAGGGGGAGAAAGGGCTTCAAAGGGCAAAGCTCAATCTCAACCTCCTCTTGTTTCCACAGCTCAATCTCAACCACTTCCAGTTTCTTCATTAGTTCCACCTAAAGCAACCGAACCACCAACAATTGGTCTTGCATCAATTTCGGGTGCTCAAGACAAAGGAAAAAAGGTTCTTGATGACAGTGATGGAAGTGAAGACAAAGAAACCATTGCTGATATTCTGAAGAAACAGGCCAGGGAGAAGGAACTTGATATGAATGTTCGAATTGCTAGGGAGGCCGAAGCAAATGAAAGGAGGATGAAGGAGGCTCATGATCTCCTTGAAAGTCAAAAAACCCTATTCCCTCCATGGACTCTTGAAAAGTTTGTTAAAGAAGCTATCGAGTCCCCTAGCATCCTTTGGCTTGAACTTGTGATCTCCTTGGACAGGGTTAATTCGGTTGATTCTCAATTTGACATGCCCTTGACCCGAAAGACATTCATCTTTCATGCATTTTCCCACATAGCTGAAGTCCCTCATCCTCACCCGAAGGTTGATAGGGAACTTATTGATTTCTATCTGAGGACTACTCAGCCTCAATATCAGACGTGGAGTGCACAGAAGATTATCAACGTTCGGGTCCTCAAACCCTTTTGGGAGGGCAACTTCACAAATTTATGATTCAAAGTCTTGAGGGGGTCAGATAAAGTCGAACATGCCATTTCTCTTGCTGATCTTCCCAACTTAAATCCTCATGACTGGATCATCCTGTACAACATCCTCCTCACCAATGAAACTGAATATGGGCCAATCATAGATTACTTCAAGAGGATGTTGGTGTGTTACATCTTGGAGGTTGCCAAGTTGGATCAGGAAGTTGCTAGTGTACTCAGAAAGAAGCCCACTATCACCCCAGTCGGCTCTGCAAGTGATTTGAATAAAATGCAGATGGGGAGGATTGGTCCGAAGCGAAACTCAGTCATGTTCACCAGGGCAGAAGGCCAAAAATGTCTATTCGCTTTGGCTGACAAACATCTTTACACCACCTCTTTTCTGGAGCATGTTCTGGGGATCATAAATCGGTGCAAGCAAAATTCTGAAAGTGATAAGAAATACTTCAATGACATGGTCCATTGGTATATTCATTTCCCACAAACTCTTCTGGCCATCATTCCTTGCTTGTTCAAAACCATGAAGAAAGTTGGTGCCGCAGGTTCAAGTAAGCCGAAGTAAGGTCTCGCCCCAATTGACGCAAAGGGGGAGATTGTTGGGTTTGTTATGTGTTGCGTCTTGGGCTCGTTCCTTGACCCAGTTTTTTTATCTGGATTGGGCTTGTCCATCCATGATTTAATTATTAGGGTTTAAGTATTTATAGATGCTTGCATGCATCTTGGTACGTAACTATTTAGTCGATCATTCATAACGATTATTATTTTCTATTGATTGTAACCCTAAAAGCCTATACAGTGGAAGTTCTTCATTGAGCTCTGTTGAGGCGTGAATCTATTGAATCATTCAGCTCATTGTTGATTGATTCTCTTGTTTGTTATTTTGTTTGCATGATTCTGATTAACCTGTGTAATATCTAAACGATCAAAGAGAATTTTCATCTCATCATCTCTGATGTTGAACTTATTTTGAAAACAATTTGTAAACAATGATGGTTTTTGAATAAATTGTAAAAGTTTAAAATTTTTGAGAATTTTATGAATGTTACAACGAATAGATGTTCGCACTAGTTGAAAGACCTGAATCCGTTTGGATCTTTCTTGCATATGCACCTCACAAAAATTTTGAAGTCTTTCAGAAGGATATGAAGTGTGCATTTCTAAACGGTGATCTTCAGGAAATGGTCTTTGTGGAACAACCACAAGGTTTCGTTAATGAAAAATATCCAAATCATTGGTACATACTGGATATATTAGTGTATGGTCTAAAACAAGCTCCTCGTGCATGATATGAAACCCTTACTCATTTCCTAAAACAATCTAGATTTAAACAAGATGGTGGCCATTTAATAATCGTTCTAATTTATGTTGATGACATCTTTTTCAGATCCACTAATCCTAAATTAAATGTTGGATTTCGAAAACTGACAGAAGCTTAATTTGAAATGAGTTCAATGGGTCCAATTAACTTTTTCCTTGGTTTATACATTAGACAGAGTTTGGAGGGAATTTTTATCAACCAAGAAGCATATATGGAGACCTTGCTATCAAAATTTGGTATGGGGTGATTCAAAGGTCAAGGTTCCAATGGCATTCGGAATGAAGCTTACACCATCCGTTGATAAGCCATCAACTAATATCACTCTATATCTCCAAATCATTGGATCTTTAATGTATCTAACATTGAGTCACCCTAATATTATGTTTGTTGTATGTTATTGTGCCAGGTTTCAAGCGAATCCCCGTGAACCACATATGATTTCTGTGAAGAACATATTCTGATACCTCAAAATAACAACCTCTCTCTGAATTTGGTATCCTTCAAATTATGAATTCTTTTTACAAGCGTATTCTAATGCTGATCTCGGTGGATGTGGAGTTGATCATAAAAGCACTTCTAGGGGATGTCAGTTTCTGGATGGCAAACTTGCGAGTTGGCAATCGAAGAAGAACACTTGTGTCTCTTTATCTACTACAAAAGCTGAATACATTACAACTGCATCGTGCACTTCCCAAGTGGTGTGGATTCATAATCAACTTAGCGATTATGGGATTAACATGAAAATAATTCCACTATACTTTGATTTAGAAAGAGCAATCATAAGTTGCCATAATCCAGTGCAACACTCAAAGACGAAACATATTGCACTAAGATATCATTTTATAAAGGATCATATAGAGGATGGAAATGTTCAAGTACACTTTGTCAAATCCTCTGATCAACTAGCTGATATCTTTACTAAGATCTTACCTGAAACGACATTTAATAAAATTTTACAAGGACCGAGCATGATTGAAGCGGACTCAATTCTGAAATCCCTTTCATAACTGTAAATTACTGTTCATGTTCCGAATGGTTTTGAGCTTCAGAATGATTCGGAATTCATATTCAAAATTCCTATTGGTTCCGATCTTCGAAATGGTTCGGAATCTACTGTTAATTAGGCTTTCGGAAATCTTATGTATCCTTTGTATATTAAGTATCTTCCGATTGATTCCGAGCTTTGGAATGGTTCGTAAGTTACTTTTCATTAGTGCTTAAGAATTTATTTTCTTTAATATTTTTCTTTATTTTCTATTTTTCATTTATTTTCAGAAAATCCAAAATCACAAAAATACTTTTCATTATTTTCAGTTTTTCATTTGTTTTCAGAAAATTAAAATCACAAAAATATTTTTCTTTATTTTTTTGTTTTTCGATTGTTTTCAGAAAATCCAAAATCACATAAATCTTTTTCTTTAATTTATGTTTGTTCATTTGTTTTCAAAAAAAAATCTAAAAGTAGCAAAAATATTTTTTTTTATGTTTTATCTTGTTCAGAAAATCTAAAATACCAAAAATATTTTACTTTTAAGATAATCATTCACTTCTCAAGTACAAATTCTTCATTATCTTAGTTCAGTAAGATGGGTCACGTATAATTCCAAATCTATGTCCTAACTAAGTGTCCCTAGAAGCATGTTGTTGCATGTTGTCCCAAGCCTCAAAGACTCTATGTTTCAAGCCTTAATGAAACTATCATTTCGATCGTTTCTTCACAATCAGGCTGATACTTCACATAAGTTATCGAGCTACCTTACTCTTCTCACATTGATTTAAGAGTTGACTGTTTTTCATTATTATTTAGCAGAGGTACACTTTTTCTTTCGGAACCAATATCAAATTTATCCATCAACTTCTCATTCATATACGTAACCCTTGAGACTCTCAACAATTATTACTGAGGTTTATGGTTATGTAACATCCGTGTTGATGATCTCGAAATTGTTATCGCCATGATTTTGAGTGAGACCCAAAATCCGAAATCCATTTCTGAATTGACGGTGAACAATTAAATGTTCTAGAATTTTCACCAATGGATTGGTGATTAAAAGCTTTTTGGTTTGTACCATTAGTGTGTGAAAACTCTTTTTTCTTTTTTCAGTGATCTTAATGAAATGTTCTCGACCTAAGACGTGTCTTCCTAGAAGATCCAGATTTTTATTTTTTCTTGAGATTTCCATAATATCCAGCCACTTAAAGAATATCTAAAGAATACGTGTTCTTATGGCTACACTGGTCAAACAAGTAATTCCCCTAGATCTTCATATTTATGTTGAGTTTCAGAATTTGGTTGAAGCTTAAGCCACCCTTGCTGCCTATTTAAAAGAAGCCTTTTCACTATTCTTTAACAAATAGATGATTATAATCCAGTGGGATACAACACAAGCACTTTAGAGTCTCTCTTGACTCAGAAGAAAGAGACAGTTGCCCGGGATCCATCTGAGTTTCGTGTCGATTTTTTTTTTGACATCATAGAATCCTATAAATACAATTTGATTTATTTCTTTTTTTTGGCACACTCTTGCACAAAAATCTTTATGATTTTTCAAAGGCTGGTTCTAATTCCGAATGCTTACTTTTATTTCAGAGAACAAGTCTTCATGGATTGTTTGTTAATCCCCAATGAATTAAAGCTGAAATGGAGAATTTATTGGGGATAAGGATTCAAATCAGGTGCGTCTTTTTCAAATCCCTGACATCATGCATGTGAGTTACACGGGTCTGACATAAGATGAGTTGTCATGCTATTCCAGGCTACTTTTACGGGATAATGGAACATCAATTGGCGGTTTTCTATCATCATTCATCATAGGACGTATTTAAGGGTTTTCGATGGTTTGTTTTCTCTCCCCGCTCACACAAATTTCAAATTAAAACCCTTTTCTCTCTATTGTTCTTCATCTTCCTCGAAGCTTCGATGGCAGGATCATCTGAAACCACTTCATTCGCTGATCAATCAACATCTGTCGTCATGCTGAGCATCAAGCCAAGTCAAAATCTCATCCTTGATGTTAACTCTTCTCGCTACCATGAAGTTCTAAGGCTAATGATTGAATGTTTAACGTTCTCGTCACTGGGTCAAGCTCTAACAATGGCAGAATCGTTTCCTTTGGTCCATCTCTCTAAGGCGTATTCTTCTGCCACCTACATCTAAGCTGAAGGGATCATTATCGGTGAGGTTGCCACTAACAGGACCTCGATCAATAAATCCCTTTTTGCAAAATTCTAGGGCTTGCTTCATCCGAAGGACTCATCGATCCAGAATCAATCTCCACTAATGCACTCATTGAGATGTTTCACCATATGGGAGACATTAGAGAAATATCTCTTTTGTCTATGTTTAGGAAGCCCTTTCTTCCTCCTATATGGAATGGGCGCTTCACTCTTCTGTTCAAGAGTTTTTCTGAACGAGTTGTTGGATCTGACTGCGCAAGCAAGCTATTCTACACCATGATCTACGGTCATTACCATGGAATCGATCTTGATTATGGTTCCATTGTGTGGACTCAGGTTATTCAGAGTACTGCTTCCACCAATCGCCATGTGGAGATCTCGTGTGCTCAATTTTGGTCCATAATAGCCAAACGAGCCCTAAACCACTACAAGGTTCCACTGGTTCCTAATTCAATCATGGCTGCTATTCTGATTCTTCAGACTTCAACTTTTATGATTTCTAACCCAACCAAGTCCACTTTTGTAGGTTTTATTCAGGAAGCAATGTTGGGAAAAGTTCCTTCAGATAATGCGATTGTGAATGAGTATCGCAAGCAACCTTCATCTGGTGTTCGCCCCCTTTTAAGATGAATTACGAAAGGCTACCAGGGAAGTAAACAAACCAAAGATGGGAGGAAAAAAAAAGCAAAATCTCCCCCTTTCGAAGTTGTGAAAACTCTGAAGAAGATTAAAAAGCAAGAATGAGAATTGATATCACCATCTCCAGTTGTTCAGGAGGCTTCGGAATCTAGAACTCATACTGACATTCAGGATGATGCTACTATTTGGAAGTAGGTAGAATACATAACGGAAACTTCGGAACTAACTCCAACCAAACCAATTCCGAAGGTATCTACTCCACCTACTTCTTCTACTCTGTTTTATGATTTCTTTAAGATGAAAACTCCTCTATCCTCTTCGACCACCACTATAATTCCGATCACCATTACTCCACTACCACCAAAGATTTATGTGGGTGTTTACAACATATCTCTATTCCTTTTTCTACACCTATTTTACCGATTCCACTGTTCCTCCTATGTCTACAATCACAAGTACACCAAAAGTCACTGTCACCAAGTCCGTTTCGGAGGAGGTACACACTTTAGGTACTCATATCAACGTATCTAATACTGGGGTCAATGCCGACATTGGTGTGACAAAGGAACAAGCCACCTCTACAACTTCTTCGTTTCGTGAAGACGATCTAGATATTCTCTTTGGTCATGTTCAAGAAAACTTCACAGATTTTGTTTTTAGACCTTTCACCATCCATTAAACCAATGATATTGATGAAGTTTCGATAACAATAGAGAGATTTAAACAACTTAATGATCAGTTGGATTCTCTATTGGAGTCTTCCAAATCCTTATCTAACTATGATTACATGATGAAATCACATCATGCTACTATTGAGATGCTAACGAAGGCAAATGCGAAAGTCCTTGAAGACTCGACCAAGGCAATTCAAGCTTCAGAGAAAACAGTTTCAGGAAAAACTGAAAAAGTTAAAAAACTACATCAAGATTTTACATAATTTATGGTTGAGCTCAGAACCTCTGCTGACTTAAATAGCAAAGCCAAGAATAAGTTCATTGCAAGGTTTTGGACTTCCCCTTGTCTGTTCTAAGATCAAGCAAGAAAACACCAAATGCATTTTTTGTCTCGAAGATTGAAAAGCTTCAAAAAGACCTTTTTGTAGAAAATAATCTCATAGATAAATTGGCTGCAAATATTGAGAAAGCCAAAGTTCTTTCAGTAAAGCTGCATTCTACAAACAAGCATCTTGATTATTTGGAATCTGAACATATAGTGGTTAAAAGTTGTGTTTATGAGATTAATCAATACTTGTAGAGACTTGTGGAGATTCATGACTCTTTACTCGTAGTCTCAGTTTGCCAACATCTCTGTGAAAAACTTAAGCCAGTCTTTGCGATGTTGAATCAGACTGAGGCAGTTTCGGGTAGCGATGCTCTTCTGAAACTAGGGGGAGACAAAGTAAATATAGAAAAACCTCACAAGAAAGAACCCTAGGAAAATCATGAACAAGAACCGAAGAATGATGGTTAGAAGGGTAATGAAGCTTCCGCATCAAGTAAAGGCAAAGAAAAAGTATTGGATGAAGAAGAAGAACAACAACAACAACAAGAGCTTTTAGAAGGAGAAAAGCTTCTGAGAAAGAAGCGCAATAGGGAACTCAATGATCTCTTACGTATTAGAAAAGAGTTAGAAGATCAAGAAAAGGAAGCCAAAATTTCTAAAGTCACTCTTGAAACTCAGAAATTGCTCTTTCCACCTTGGACAATGGACCGAATTCAGAGGGAAGCTATTGATGATCCGAGCATTCATTGGCTGCAGCCTTTGGTTTCTTTTGATCTGAGTAATATGGCAGATTCTCAACTTGATTTTCCAATCACCCCTAAGGCTTTTCTGTTTCGATGCTTTGAGAAGATTGAGAAGGCACCACTCTCGGACTATGATGTTAATCATATGCTCATCTCTTTCTATGCCAACCTCAGTTCAAGACTTGGAGCTCGTAGAATATTATTGCTTTGAAGGCTTATGCACATATTCCGACTTAAGACTTCATAAACATTAAGTTTAAAGGATTCCGAGGAGCAAGTTGTACCGAAGATGAATTCACTATGGCAAACTTACCACGCATGAATCAGACAACTGGATTTCATTGTTCTTGATTGTGTCTAAATATGAAAAGACATATGAGCCAATTGTTACACACCTGAAAAGGATGCTAATTTGCTACATTCATAAATTACAAAAATGGATATAGAAATATCCTTAGTTATGAAGAAAAGGCCTATTATTAATCCTGAAGAGAAGCCAAAGTATTTACATAAGCTCAAGCTAGGTAAAATCTGAAAACAAAATTGATGTGTGGTGTACCAATGGAAGGATGGTCAAAATGTTCAGATGAGTATGTTCTTCTTGCGTGATAATAACTTATACTCCACTGTTTCTCTAAACTATATCCTTGGTTTGATTGAAGCTTGTAAAGATGAAACCGTTGCTGACCAGAAATGTTTCTTAGACATAATCAAGTGGTACCTCGTTGTCAGGAATACTCTAATGAATGTGATGCGAAAATTGTTGAAGGTGCAAAAAAGACAAAAGTGAAGAATCCCCTTTGGTATTTGACACAAAGGGGGAGATTTTTGTGTTATAAATCTATTGTATCAAATATATGTGCTGGTATAGTCTTATTTAGCGTTTTGGGCATGTCCATTCACAGTTTCTTGTTTCTTGGGTTAGACTATTTATAGTGCATGCATTTATTTATTAGGGTTAGCGTTTAGTCACCCTACCTAGCTCTCATAGAGAAGTTCTTCCTTGAACTCTTCTAGAGCTATTCTAATCTAAGCATTTAGCACTATTTTGAACTTTGTTCTTGTCATTCATGTCTCATTATTTAATATAGAATCTACCGATCGTATTTATTATTCCCACATCAACTATTGAACATTGTCACCTTTAGTCCTCAAACTTTTAATTAATCCAATTAATCCTAAAATTAATTCCAATTAATTTTTGATTAATTATTAATTAAATAATATTATTTCCAATTGATATATTATTTTCATAATACATTAACAAATAATTTCTTTTGATTTCTAATTAATTTATTAACCAAATAATAAATTAATAAATCAATCTCCTCTCTCTGAAAGTCATCCTATTAAATTTTTGGGTTTAAGGGCAACCCAAAAAGGATTGTGCTACTATTAATTCAAGTTTATACCAATTATAGTTATAGGCTGAGACACCTAATCCATCAATACCTATTATTGTATCAGAACTCGATGTGTGTCCCATGCACTTCCAAAATCTTTGATACAAGCTCTGAGGATATCCTCCAATGTCTAGATTGTTCTTTTGCTTTGACTGTTGGTATAAGGATGATAAGATGTGCTGATGTCTAGACGGGTATCAAGAGATTTTAATAGGCTTCACCATAATTATGAGGTGAATCTACTATCTCTATCTAAGATAATGGATAATGACACCGCATGTAATCTGACTATCTCTCAAAGGTACGTCCTGGTTAGCTTCTCCATTTTATTTGTCTTTTTATTGGTAATAATGGGACAACTTGGTCATTCTATCGACTACTACCCACATAGTGTCGAAACCACTAGATTTTCTTGGTAGCTTTGTTATGAAGTCCATCGAAATCTATTCCCACTTCTATTTTGGGTTTTTTGGTTGTTGTAATAATCCTAAAGGCCTTTGATGTTCTAGTTTGACCTTAGATCATGTTAGGAACTTGATCACATATGTAGCAATCTCTGATTTTATATTTGGCTACCAATAGAGCTTCTTCAAATCTAAATACATATTGTCTGCTCTGGGTGAATGGAATATCTCATCTTATGAGCTTCATTCATGACTAGTTCCTATTATCACAAAATTTTGGAACCTAAATTTGGTTCATGAAATATCTTGCTCCATTATACTTAATTTTAAGTTGCTTTTCCATTCCTCGCCGACCCTTTGCACTTATGTTTTCTTCTATGAAAGTCTTAATTTGAGCATCCGTAATTTGTGTGATTAGATTGGACTGGATGATCATGGTGAGTGTCCTAACTCTGCGAGGTTTGACTTGCTCCTTATGACTTAAGGCATCAGCCACCACACTAGCTTTTCCTGGGTGATAACGAATCTCACATTCATAATCGTTCAGCAATTCTAACCATCTTCTTTGTCTCATATTGATCTCCTTTTGATCAAAGATCTGCTGAAGACTCTGGTGATTCGTGTAGATCATACACTTCGTTCCATACTGATAATGACGCCATATCTTCAAGGTGAAGACTACCACTCCCAACTCTAGGTCGTGGGTGGTGTAGTTGTTCTCATGCACCTTGAGCTGTATTATAGCATAAGCTATAAATATCTCTCTTTTTATTAATTAACATCCCAATCCCTGATGCGAAGTGTCACAATATATGATGAAGCCTTTGGTGCCCTCTAAAAGGGATAATATTGGTGCACTACATAATATTTCCTTCAACTTTTGGAAAGCAACTTCTTTTTTGTCTCCCCATACAAACTTTATCTATTTTTGTGTTAATGTTGGGCATCATTGGATTAGTTAACTGTCCGTTTTTGATAGTTGGTTTATTCTTTCTTTGTCATCGGTTAAATTTGTTCAGGGACTTTAGGAAGTGCCTTGGATGATTCAATGTTTCATCAAGTCTAGTGAAGTATATGTCAAATTTTGGGTGAATACATTAGGTTTTCTGGTCATAGGATTTTAGTTCTTGCAAGTTTAGGGTGGTAGTGGTTTTGAGTAGTGAATTGTAGATGGCATGGAAATTAGAATGGTTATAAGCTTGGCAAGGAGTAGATGATTCAGAGTGGGGGAGAATCACTTGAGATTAATGGAAATATTTCCAAGTGCAGGCCAACTTGGAATATCATAACCAAGGGTAAGTGAGTTGTCAGTTTAGGTTGTTGTATGAGTCAAATCTTTTACAAAGAATAATGGTCATTGGTCCATTGGGAGTAGGGAAGCAAATATTAAGGATTTAGGTTATCTCGTCCGAGGATGTGAAGCATTGGCAGTGATGTATTTTGATTCCATAATTAGGTTCAAGTCAAGGGTTGTGTGAGGACCTATCTTCCCGTGGAAGTGTTACAAGACTGTGAGGTAGCATGTAGCATTAACTAGGATGGTAGGCAGTTGTGGAAGTGTTGTAAGTCTATGATTTGGTTCGTAGCATTCACTAGGATGAGATAGACCATAACATGAGTGATTGTTAGACTATAAGAGGACCAAAAACACTCGTTTGGGTTGAGTAAGAACCGTTATTATTGTTTAATCACTCCTTGTTGGGCATGCGGATTATTAGAGCTATGGTGATGTTTAGGCTTGTGTAACTATCGATTGTGGGTGAGGCTCGTATGGCTATGTTAGCTTGGGTAAGATCTATGGGCGAGGACCATTTGGCTATGTTAGCTTGGGTGAGTCCCATGGGAGAGGATTGTTTGGTTATGTTAGATGGGATGAGACCCATGGGTGATGCCCGTTTAGTTATGTTATCTTTGGTAAGAGGTCCATTCAGACGTTCGGGTTATGCTCAGTGCATGTGGTGCTGGTCGAGAGTCTTCTAGACAATTAGGGAATGATGACTCTATAGTAAGTCAAGTGCATATATGAGATCTTTTGGGCATGAATTATGTATTAAAAGTTTTTGGAATTCATGATCGGGGTGTTCTGAGAGTTTATTCTGCGTTTTTAGGTGGTGATTGTAGTCGGGGACTAAGGTTAAGTATGGAAAGGGGACGATCCTCGATTTAGGGTATGGTTTTTATAGTTAGACTACTAGGTGCCCAGGTTGCAAAATATATTGTGGAAGCCATGTTCATGGTCATGCTAGGATAGCCTTTCTCAGTTAGACCCTAGGTTAGGGTCTCGTGGTGCGACCCTATGTGAGGTTGTCAGCTTTAGCCATCTGTCGGGAATTTTGTATTCCAATTATTAGTAGGACAACACAGAAATAGGGAAATCTAGGATAGATCGAATATGTGAAATTTGGTTAGCAGGGTATAATGTATATGTTGGCATAACACCAATGGTTGTGACTTGTGTTGGAAGTTGATTTTGTACTCGGGTATAAGGTAGTCAGCATCTACAAATGATTAGGGATAATGTTTCCATTATTAGTAAAATAATTCAGTGTTAGAGGGCTTTTGGTTGGTTTGAGTTGCGGATTAGAGTGATTACGGATATGGTTTGAATGGTTTTGTCTATCTGGAAGTTAGGCATGGTTTAAGGTTTTTGGATTTTGGGAAGAGTAGTTGGACTTTCTCTTTGTTGGTTAAGGGTGACATGTTAAGGTTCGTTTCTTCGTCTGGGCATGTGACTTTTGTTAAGATTGGTTCAATAGCTGTATCGGAAGGTGGTCTTCTGTGTGAGATGATTTCTAAAATATTTTTTAGTCTCAAGAAGGTTTAGTTGGGATTGGCTAGTGTGGTAGGGTAAGTTGTAAGAAATGATTTCGATGACAAAATCTAGTTTAAGTGGAGGAAATTTGTAACACATGTTTACCAGATTGGTTTAGCTTGAAACTTAGCGGGATCAAAGATGGAGTTTTTGGGAAAACCTCCATGACACAACGTAGCACATGGATCCCTAAGGTTAATATAGAACACACATATTTGGTGGGTTCCATGGCGTGGAAAAGGATAGGCATGATGTGGAAGCCATTGTAGCACAAACCTAATATTTTTAGAGTTTCTCTCATATATAAACACCTTAATTCCCATTCTAAGTCATCTTCTCAGCGTCCATCACTATCAACCTCAAAAACCTTAACCGTGATCCCTCTTGGTGATTCTTGGCTCATTTTGGTACTTTTGGTAGCTTGAAGAAGAAGAAGAAGAAGAAGAAGAAGAAAAAGAAGAAGAAGGTGTTCTAGTGTGTTAATCCAACAAGGAAATCGCATCATCACCCTTTTTTTTCATATTGTGGACCTTTGTAAGTGTCCAAGATTCAATCTTTTTGGTTGCGTGTTTCTAGATCAAAGTTCTTTGTCCCTTTTTTTCATGTTGTGGAAGTTTGGAATAATGGATCCCATAAAGTTGGCAACTTTATGGATCCTTGAGGTCCTTTTGGTGTTATATGTTGTAGATCTAGAATTCTTGGAGTTTTTGGTCCCATGAATAAGTTGGAGCTCATTTTTTCATGAATGTGACCTAGTTTAGGAAGTGACATGCATTGGACATACATGTACATAAAGCAATAATTTTTATGGCGGTTTAGGAGTAGGAAACTCTTCTGGAAATTGTAGAGTTGAGATTTTAAGGATTAAGTGCTTAATGGTTAACTTTATGCCTTAAGTTACAATTAAGGACCTAGGTTTAAATATCTTTGCTTATTAGGATGTATTAATGGATAAACTTGGAAACTTCATCCATCAAGACATTGGGGAAAATCAGATCTGAGCTTTGGAGCACTTAAGGATTAAGGAAAACACCTTAATCCATTAAGTTGTTTAAACCTAGTTCCTATGATGTGAGCTTCTGGTTGCCACGACGTGGCGACTGGGGATCAACCCGAATATTTTGGCTTTTGTGATCACGACGTGGCCACAGGTAGGCCATGGCGTGGAGGGCTGCCGATGATAATTTTTGACCCTGACCTTGACTTGGACCATTGATTTTTGGCATAGTTTGACTTTTGGTCAAATTTCTAGTTTTAGAAGGTGCACTAAGGGTTTACCTTGTGTAGTTTTAGTAGGAGATGTATAGAACCCATTCGTTTAATATGAGAGCTATTTGCTACTATTTTCGTCGGCAAGGTAAGTCTTCTCACTATACTGTGTAGGATGCTAGCTATCTTTGTGAATTTTGTATTGTATGTTAGGCGGGGGCCCATTTGTATGTATTAGGTTGGGCCCAATGTTATGTTGGGTTGTGCCCGTTAATATGTTGGGTTGGGCTTGTTGATATGTTGGGTTGGGCCCTTTTGCATGTTGGGTTGGGCTTATTGATATGTTGGGATGGGCTTGTTCGTTTGTTGGGTTGGGCCCATTGTACGGTACGTGGTATTTTAGGGAACTTTCTAAGCTTTATGCTTACGGTTTGTGGTTTAAACATTCTCAGTTACTTCTAGTTTCAAAGGGAAGGGCCTAACTTGACTTCAAAACATCACCTCATGGCTTTTCCGTATCAATTGTTATTGTATTACTATGATGTTTGAAAAATACATTTTAATATGATTGGTTTTAAAAAGTTGGTTGTTGATGATTTAAAAATGAAAATTTTGTTGATATTTTTGGGACGTTACATAATTTCTTTGAATTTGATGGAGGGGACGCTAGCTATTAGTCGGATATGACATATCGAGGGGAAAAGGAGGTGTGATAATGTGGATGTTGTACAAATGCTTTGGCTTCTTGTACCCGAATGAATTCTTCCTCGTTATTTATAGAAAATTAAATATCTTCTTACATTTTCTTCGTACTCATCCTTCCACCAGATGTTGACATGTGTCACATCTAATGCCACATTTAGTGAAATTAATTATAATTTAATCCACTTGTCACCAATTTATATGGGTAGGAGGATAGTAGGAAAAAAAAGTAGAATGATATTTAATTCTCTTATTTATAATAAAAAATTAATTTATTAATATTCAGTATTAAAAATATATATAAAAAATGATAAGTAAGAGCAATATAGTCATTATACGTATATTAGTAGGGATGTTATTCGGGCTAGACCAGACTGAACTGACCCGAACCTGAATAACCCAAGAACCGAATAAGGGTAAGTTCATGAACTAAATAAGCAAAACGGGTTTGGTTCAGTTCATGTATTAATCAGTTCGGTTCGGTTTCTGACCCTGAATAACATGTATAAGATGATTAGGGATCTAATATAACCGAAAAGATCCAAAT